CCCACCATGTAGATCTGTCGTCTCCCATCCTCAATTCCAAGTCTACTGCAATCCCCAAAAGCCAGGAGTTCACACTTTGATTTTCCATTTCTTCACAGACCTCTGTACATGTTATATAGCCAATGCCCCCTCCTTATCCACTGATACACCAAGTCCATCATCCTCTTTCTCTTATGGCCCCCCCTTCCTAGACCTCGATCTGTGACACAAACCCGTTGGCCCCTATCCTGTACATGACAACATATTGAACCCTTCCTCCCATGTGGTACTTTCTCCCCCCTCCCAAGCAACACAAGACAGTTGTTGTTAATTAACTCTAGGCATCACACACCACCTCTCAGCATCCTAATCCATAACACCTTTCCCTCTTTGCCACCCACCAACAAAACCCAGTTGTCCGTAATATCTTGACCGATATCTTGACTCAAAACTCACCAATACTCAGACAGCGCTGCATCCCAAAACTTAATTACTCTGGATCTTCCGGTCCCCTCCAACACAAGCCAGTTGTCCGAAATCCTGCCCATGGACTCAAAATCTTCACCTACACATGCATTTATGTTATGAATATGTACCATGTTCTTACACTACACCATGTGAATACTCTATTTTTGTACTAGGTTCCAAGTGGGCATTTTCATACAATATAATTCTTGATTCATCCTATACTCAAAACATGCCTAAACCAGCTTCACTCAGTCAAGCCCTCCAACACAAGTAAGTTGTCTGTCAATATCCTGTCACCTACACACTGACCAACATGCCCTAAACCAGCTTCATCCAGCCCTCTCCAACACAAGCCAGTTGTCTGTCAATATCCTGTCACCTACACACTGACCAACATGCCCTAAACCAGCTTCATCCAGCCCTCTCCAACACAAGCCAGTTGTCTGTCAATATCCTGTCACCTACACACTGACCAACATGCCCTAAACCAGCTTCATCCAGCCCTCTCCAACACAAGCCAGTTGTCTGTCAATATCCTGTCACCTACACACTGACCAACATGCCCTAAACCAGCTTCATCCAGCCCTCTCCAACACAAGCCAGTTGTCTGTCAATATCCTGTCACCTACACACTGACCAACATGCCCTAAACCAGCTTCATCCAGCCCTCTCCAACACAAGCCAGTTGTCTGTCAATATCCTGTCACCTACACACTGACCAACATGCCCTAAACCAGCTTCATCCAGCCCTCTCCAACACAAGCCAGTTGTCTGTCAATATCCTGGCACCTACACACTGACCAACATGCCCTAAACCAGCTTCACCCAGCCCTCCAACACAACCCCTGATGCCCAGCACCCACCCCTGATGCCCAGCGCCCACCCCACCCATCACCTGTAATCTCCACCCCTCCCAGTGACTATGGACACATTGTTGACAGTCCCAGAGCCTCCTGTTGATTCAACTCATTATGTAACAGATGTTGCAGAGCCTGAGTCCACACATACATCAAACTCCTGGCCCTCTATTTACTCCCTGGCTGCTCCTACAACACATCTTTTCAGCACACACTCTCCACACAGGCTAATGCACCTGTCGATGTTCATATTCAGCCGTACCAGCAATTCTCTCTGGGAACATCAGCCCTCACACGTATTAACCAGGAGACGTGAATAAAAGGCTATCAGACACATCACCAAATAATCTTCAGACAGGGATACAAGGCTCTCTTGTATATCGGAGACAGATATGTCTGGCTGGACAGACAATTACCATATATATCTTGATACGCTTTATTTGGTGCCACACCGGTTGCTGGACCTGCAGTGTGCAGCCATTGACTGGAAGGATGGCTTGAGGGTATAGACATTTGACATCTGGTATCAACTCTTCTTACCTAAGTTTTTACATTTATCACACAGTTGATTGTACAACCTGGGTATATGTAGATTAAAGTATATTTTTAGCTGATTGTAGCATTAACACTCATAACCATACCAACCCTTACATTAAATCATAGCTGCTGAATACAAACTTAACTTGATGCAATTCTATTCAGAAGATAATCTCTAACATATAATTATAAACATTAAAATCTCTGCGAAATAATTATCAACATTAAAATCTCTGCCAGATAATTATAATCATAAAAAAACTCTGACATGTAACAAACAACTAAAGAAAGTTTGGTTTCAGCATGGTATAAAAAAATCTCACCATAAACACCTACCTGCTCTTAAAAGTATGTATTAATGCCATCACTTCACGCAGCTAATGTGCAATAGACAAATTTACCAGTGATAAGATATGTAGCAGATTCCACCCCCGGCCCATGTGTTACACTGATACAGCAGCGCCTGTACACATCCATATCAAACATCTCTGCTGGAACTGCAACACCAGCCATGTACAAGGATCCATCATAATCAAGTCATTATCAGTTCAAAAGCATATCAACTGTTATTTTTAATCCCTGTGATTGCGTGGTCCACTTTGGTAGAACAGTAACTACAGCGGCATCACAGAGCAGCAACACAACTGTGGCAAATGTCACACGAGAAAGAGCCTCATCGCCTTGCAGCTCTCCCAAACCTCCGGTTCATGGATTAACTAAACTTGTAACTGATCATACTAGATTAACACTCAGTCTTTGAAATTTTTTCTTTAAATATATTTTAATGGACTTTTTTTAATAGAACCTTAACTCCTCAACTGTTTTCATGTGGAATCAAGGAAACTAGACTTGCTTTAGTTTGATCTAGACTTACCTAGGCTTTTTGTACACGATGTATTTTATATATTTCACAGTCATAGCTCAGGACTACTGATTATGCATACTGATGGTGACATATGAAAGGAGCGAGTTGACATAAATCACCAATATTTGAAGGAAGTAAAAATAACATAAATAATCTCCATAAAGGCAACCATATACCATTTTGGTTAGTGTGCCCCTTCTTAGAAACAAGTGACTGAAGTCTAACACTGCTGTCAGCAATACTCAGACCAATATCACAGTGGGGAAAGCAACAACAAGCTCTACATTGTACCCACCAAAGGAACTGAGCTCTGGACAATCAAAGTTTTAACAAATAGGCTACCCCACTCCCTCTCTTGATGACAATAACATTATGAACATACTCATATGATATACTTGTCCCCTACTATCTCCCCATCACCCTGTGTATAACAGTATACTTGTCCCTTGCACTATCATCACCTGTGTGTTAACATTATACTTGTCCCTTGCACTATCATCACCTGTGTGTTAACATTATACTTGTCCCTTGCACTATCATCACCCGTGTGTATAACATTATACTTGTCCCTTGCACTATCATCACCCATGTGTATAACATTATACTTGTCCCTTGCACTATCATCACCCGTGTGTATAACATTATACTTGTCCCTTGCACTATCATCACCTGTGTGTTAACATTATACTTGACCCTTGCACTATCATCACCTGTGTGTTAACATTATACTTGTCCCTTGCACTATCATCACCTGTGTGTTAACGTTATACTTGTCCCTTGCACTATCATCACCTGTGTGTTAACGTTATACTTGTCCCTTGCACTATCATCACCTGTGTGTTAACATTATACTTGTCCCTTGCACTATCATCACCTGTGTGTTAACATTATACTTGTCCCTTGCACTATCATCACCTGTGTGTATAACAATATACTTGTCCCCTACTATCTCCCCATCACCTGTGTGTTAACATTATACTTGTCCCTTGCACTATCATCACCTGTGTGTATAACAATATACTTGTCCCCTACTATCTCCCCATCACCTGTGTATATCAATATACTTGTCCTATGCACTATCATCACCTGTGTATAACAATATACTTGTCCTATGCACTTTCATCACCTGTGTATAACAATATACTTGTCCTGAGAACTATCATCACCTATGTGGAAAACAATCTACTTGTCCTATGCACTATCATCAACTATGTGTATAACAATCTACTTGTCCCATGCACTATCGTGGAGCACCAAGGGGCCTTCATCAGCAGTTGTCCTACAACATGCTTAACTAGTACCATACACCTCTCCTCAACAACTGTACTAATGTCTTCAAGACTAATTACAACTGATCTTCTTCCAAGATCAAAACCAAACCAAAATTCCGTTCAATTATACTTCCAGACCTAGAAGACAGCAATGATTATTCACTCTGGTATTCCATAACCAACAAGCTCCATCTCAGTGTGAGGTTAATGAATCACCGGTACCAATACCTAAACACAAGCAGCTGTAAATCTACCTGTCTCTGAAAGATATGGCTAAACAGGTCTGTATTGGACTGGTCATGTTATTAGCTGTTGAATCCATGTGTAAAAGGGAAGCCCTCCCAGCACATGGTTCCTGTGGGGGCGGTTGCACGATCGGCACGATCGGCAAAATGACCTGGTGTCGTGTTTGGGAGAGCATCAGCTGTACAGTAGCACCCAATGGCTAATCCACATGGCTACAAGCAGGATATGAGTTTAGCATTGATATCATTAGCATGGTGAAATGGAGGATTGTAAACAAACCATAGGAAGTACATATCGCTCGATGTTTCGGCAAGACCTCCGACACATCATGTGATAAGCACCATGTAAATATATACAGCCTAGGCACTGCACTGACTCAACAGTGAAGGAGAATGAGAACTAGTTCCTGTAATATTCAAATAAACCCTTTATTATTATTATAATAATAATAGTAATAATAATAATAAAAATAGTAGTAATAGTAGTTGTAGTAGTATAAGTAGTAGTAGTAGTAGTTGTAGTAGTAGTAGTAGTAGTAATAAATAAACCCTGACTTTAAACAAAGATTCAAGAATATGAATTGACAGCAAATAATTAAAAAAAAAACCAACATTCTTTTAAAATGTAGATTAATAATGTTAACTTCATTTGAAAGGATATCTGCCAATTTGCATCAAGTGTGACATCTATTGATGGTACTGAGAAAACTACCAGGAAGGAGGGACCTCTCATGATCCCCTCCACCACCCCCCTTCAGTGACCCAAGTGTTCACATACCTACAGCATGGCAAATAACCACGACTAATCCTACAGCCAGATACACAAGTCCATCCAGGTACAGAAACCGATGCCACAGAGAGTAGTAGGAATCCCATGAAAAGTACCTCTACTGTTACACTAGCAGACCCATCACCTGGTGTCGGTGCTTCCAGTATACACAACCAGCATCAGCTCGACCAAATCTCCATCAAAACACAAGCAGTTGTCGCTGTACCGTGAACATCCATCGGCTGTACCAGTATGTCTCCTTGTAGGGAATATTCCAGTCTGGCACAGTTATTGTTTATCCACAAACACTGCATTTTCTACAAGCATCCATTGCAGACAGAAGAGCAACAGCCTCCGTTACCCTGTTTCTTCTTCCATTGATTAGATCCTCCTCGCTAGAGAACACGAACGGAGAACGAGAGACTGAGCGAGCGAGAGGCTTCCACCTCCTTACTCCGCGACTGACTGCTGGCTTATTGATGGTTTCCCAACCCAACACACCAGCCGGCTGAGGCCCACTGATCGGAGGAGCCAACGAGAGAGAGCAATGGGCAGACTTCCAGGCACTTCATAAAACCATCCATGACAGGCCCTCTCACTGATGTAAGGCACAGTGTATACGTCCCACAGGGGCAAGAGGTTAGGGTTCATCGCAACCCATGGGTCACTGGACTATGTGGCATTGAGGGGGTCTCAGTCTCAGGATACCTCAACTCAACTGTAGTAATGTACATCATATAGACTATGGACATTCCGACTGAACACTGAAATGTCATGGAGGACAGATGGACTGGGAGAAGGTTAGAAATGACACAGGGAATTTGAGATTCTTGAAATATGATATCGGCTTCATACAGAAGTGTGATGGTCTTGGGTTTGTCATATGTATTTTTAAAAGGAGCCGATCAATAGTCTCACAATCCCAGCAAATATCAACTGAATTCAAATAATTAAAAAGCCAAATAAATGAACATTTCTTATGACAATTCCACTTTGACAACAGGAATGAAATGGACTGGTCATGTGAATATGGAGATGGAACGCACTGTCCATCTATCATACCGGTAGTAGTCCTGCACTATGACTGTGGAATATATATTTTATAAAAAGAAACACAATCTAGATATGTATACAAAGACAAGTCCAGCCAGCTCCAGCTAGCTCTATTCCAAAGAATGAAATCAGCATCAGGAAAATTAGTTGTTTAATTTCAGAGGCAAAGAAGAGTATTGTGTGATATAAGTTTTCATAGACTAAATGTCATTCTACCATTATAGAAGACTGGCAATTTGTTTTCACGACCTATTTAAAAGTGTAATTTTCTCAAACATCCCCAACCTTGTCCTGTCTTCTGATTCCTGACCCTCTTTCAATTAATTGAGCCACACCCCCTTCATTGTATGACCAGCTCCTATTGACTTCCTACAGACACAAAGCTGCCTGTTGTCTATATTGATACCAGTGTACATGGAAGATATTAATTATGCAAATCAAGTCTGTGCCACATTCATCAAAAACAACTGAGGACTGGAGCTACGCATCCCTTCCCCTGGCCGAGCCAGAATCCCTAGAATTGCTACCAAGTCCATTAAACATGCATTTTCAATATCCACATTAACCCTGGCTTGCAGATCTCTTTCCAATTTCCGTACAGTAGAAAATTACACAACCATCAACCTGGGTTTATAGGCATTTAACATTCACAGGACATTGATTTTATACTAAAAAATCCATTCAAATCACATATGCTCATATTAATTACCACAGGAACCTATGATAACGGAACATGTTTACTGAGTACAACTTACACCTTCCATGTGTGGCTAGTGCAGCATCTGGACCCAGAACACCGATACCGCCTCTGTTGTCTTCCTACTGCTGTGGGTCCTGACAATATAGTTATTTATTGGTCCCTATTGTTGTACTCTGTCCAGTCCCCAGTATCTATCACTTCCTGTTTTACTGTGCATTCCATGGTACTCAACACTATTCATTTCTCCATGCTGACCCATGAAGATTCCGGGGTAGAATAGGTCTTCAGCAACCCATGCTTGCCGTAAAAGGTGACTATGCTTGTTGTAAGAGGCGACTAACAGGATTGGGTGGTCAGGCTCGCTGACTTGGTTGATGCATGTCATCGATCCCAATTGCGTGGATCGATGCTCATGATATTAATCACTGGATTGTCTGGTCCAGACTCGATTACTTACAGACTGCCGTCATATAGCTGGAATATTGCTGAGTGCGGCGTTAAACAACAAACCAACCAACTCCATGCTGACAGACTTTTGCCTGTATCCATCTGTCTAATACTAGTGCATAGTGTACACCCATCCTCCCATCTATAATCACACCTTCCATTTATACATCAATAAACCACCCATTCATTCATCTTTACATCCACCTCCTCCATCTTAAAATCTCCCTTCCATCCACCATCTAGCCAACCATCCATTAACTGAACACACATCTATCCATCCATTCATCTTTACATAATTCACCTAACCTCACCAGTCCATCTATACACATCCATTCACCCTTCTTCAAATTTACCCAAACAATATCACGTTTGTTTAATGTCGCACTGGGCAGTATTCATGATATATGACAGCCTGACAATAATCCAGTCCAGGACTTGACAATCCAGGGATTGAACATATGAGCAACTATCTCTGATGTTGACGTATAATGGCACACAATCAACAGAATCTGACTACAAGATCCATTTGATCGCCTCCAACAACCAGCATAGGTTGCTGTGGACCTATCCTAACCGGGGATCCGGGTGAAGACCAATATAGGTTGCTGTGGACTGATCCTAAAAGGGGATCCCTATGGGTGACAACCAACATAGGTTGCTGCAGACCCATCCTTACCGGGGATCTGGATGACGACCAACATAGGTTGCTGCAGACCAAACCTAACTGGGGATCTGGGTGACGACCAACATAGGTAGCTGCAGACCCATCCTAACCAGGGATCTGGGTGATGACCAACATAGGTTGCTGCAGACCCATCCTAACCAGGGATCTGGGTGACGACCAACATAGGTTGCTGCAGACCCATCCTGATCTGGGTGACGACCAACATAGGTTGCTGCAGACCCATCCTACCCGGGGATCTGGGTGACGACCAACATAGGTTGCTGCAGACCCATCCTAACCAGGGATCTGGGTGATGACCAACATAGGTTGCTGCAGACCCATCCTAACCAGGGATCTGGGTGACGACCAACATAGGTTGCTGCAGACCCATCCTGATCTGGGTGACGACCAACATAGGTTGCTGCAGACCAAACCTAACCGGGGATCTGGGTGACGACCAACATAGGTTGCTGCAGACCCATCCTTACCGGGGATCTGGATGACGACCAACATAGGTTGCTGCAGACCAATCCTAACCGGGGATCTGGATGACGACCAACATAGGTTGCTGCAGACCAATCCTAACCGGGGATCTGGGTGAAGACCAACACAGGTTGCTGCAGACCCATCCTAACCGGGGATCTGGGTGACGACCAACATAGGTTGCTGCAGACCCATCCTAACCGGGGATCTGGATGACGACCAACATTGGTTGCTGCAGACGCATCCTAACCAGGGATCTGGGTGAAGACCAACACAGGTTGCTGCAGACCCATCCTAACCGGGGATCTGGGTGACGACCAACATAGGTTGCTGCAGACCCATCCTAACCGGGGATCTGGGTGACGACCAACATAGGTTGCTGCAGACCCATCCTAACCGGGGATCCAGGTGAAGACCAACATAGGTTGCTGCAGACCATCCTCAACAGGGATCAACTTGTTATTATCCCATGTACCAGCACTTACAAGAGAGGATCATGTCCATCGCCATGGAGTTGAACTTGAAGATCCACTACCTATCCACCCCCAATAACAAATCAACCTAAACCTGCCTATTCCCTATGACAAGTGTCCAGTTACCCATGGACCCCCTGCCTCTCATAGCCAGATAAGGTGTACACTTGTAAAGACACAACAAATCAACAAAGTTTCTTTCATGTATTGCAGACCACTAATGAACATTATGACAATTAATCACACTGACGGAACACTAAGTGTAAGTAAATATTAGAACTAACACAGGGCAGCTTCTGTCAGCATCAATGGTAGCATAAACGTACCAGTCTCTCACAGCTCACCCGGAGGGCCCAGTCCAAGCTGCCCTCTACTGACCAGGCCAAAATCAACATTACGATTTTGATTAGTTGTGACCTGTGGCTCCCTCTGGTGGTAGAGAGTGGAATTAAAGCCTTCACCTGCCCCCACTCCCAGAGTTTCCTCGCAGCAGGCTGGAGCCAAGTCTGGCGATTCCAGCACCGATTCCATAGCACCATCCTGTATTGATTGTACGATCCAACCAGGAAAATGTTTGTATAAAGTTTACTGCTGGATCTGTGGGCATCAAGATTGGTCGTTTTTAAGGATATCTGACACTGACGTTCTCATCAAAATTTAACACGTTTGGAAATGAGTCAAAAATTGTGAAATTTGAAATTTGAAATTTGAAAAATGCATTTCTTGGTGCTAACTTTTTTCAATTTTTAGCAGTGAAAGTTTATAGCTTTAATAGGAATTCAGAGCAATCTTCATGCTGACTGACTCTGAAAAGTGTCATCAACGTTTTGGATAATAGTTTATTTCCTAACTGGGGAGATAATTTCCATTATAATTTTTTTTAATTCTAAAAAAGCATTAAAAATATTGTGATGAAAAAAACAAATTGGAATCAATTTCATACCAACTTTAAAACCCCAGAGCATATCGTTCAGCAGATGAGAATTTTTAACATTATCAGACGATCAAATTTAAAAGTGAAAATTATTAATATTTGAATTATGATTATTAGGGAGTGTGAAAACCATTAAATTTTTAATGTTTTTGCTTTTTGTTATTAACAAAGATTATCTTTGGTTTGATTTTTAACATCAGGCAAAACTGACGCTTGCATTGTTCTGCCTTCCTTATCAGCTTTGTAGATAATAGTTTGAAAAAGTGGTGAAACTATCTTTCCGGCAAAACAAATTATGAATTTATACATTTCCAAGTATTCAACACATGCATAAAATTATTGATTTATGTTAAAATGCAGCAATTCTTTCTTGGTTGTATTTCTTTATGAGGCTCGAATAGCGGAATAGGTTTCAGAGTGCAAGGTGATTGTTTTCCGCCTGTCAGCTTTTATATACAACAGTGAATATGAAGTGTATTCATCTTGAAAATGGGAGTTTGAGCAAATGTCATTGTTTTACTGCCAGTTGAATCACAGTGGTCTGCATGTGCAGTAGAACTGTCGTCAATGAGAGCAGACCCGTGAAGATCCATGAAGATTCTGTAAGAGGTGACTATGCTTGTCATAAGAGGCGACTAACGGGAACGAGTGGTCAGGCTCCCTGACTTGGTTGATGTATGTCATCGTATCCCAATTGTGTGGATTGATGCTCATGATATCAATCACTGGATT